TGAGGCAGCGATGTTTATCAATAAAAGAGAAGTTAAGGGCAGGTAATATAACTTGATTAGGAATGCAATACAGCTTGTAAAATCTGAATAAATGGTTTTAATGTGAGAGCTCCCAAAACGGAACAGTAGCAGATACAAAATTATCTTATCGCTTAAAACTAGATCAATTTTTATTTTGCTGTAACCTTGATGAACAAAATTATACACACTTGACTCATTTACCAGTTACTGTTGCTCCTGTAATATTTGGAAAGTCATGAAATTAACGGCTCTTACATATCTCCAATTCTGTTTCAACAGTAGTATAGATTTCGACCGTTTGGGCCCCTATAACATCACCGGTGAGTTAAGGAAAGGACAACACTATGGTATGGTGCAGTGTGTTAGTCCTTCGTGGCTGTATATATTGAGAATAATACATGCCTTTTTCCATATCACACCCAGTATCAACTCGAGACTGCAATATCAGCCCGAGGGCTGATATTAGGTTTTGGGGTATGATACGGCGGGGCCTTTTGGGGTGTGATACGGCGAGGGCTGATATGGGTTAGAGCAATTGTGTCGTATCGCATATAAAAAAAAAAATCATTAGTAAGTGTGTAATAAACTACCAAATTGTACAGGTGCAATCATATGTGTGTCTTACGTTTATTTATTAAAAGTGTTCTGTTTAGAGGGCCGTTCTTTGTTTAGCTAACCTTACGTTACAACGACACAAACTAACGAGAGGAGAAATCCAGAAAATGCTTTCCTCACACTGAGAACTCGGGTAGTGACAACAAAACCTCAAAGTACACTTATGAGCATAATAAAAACATCAATCATCATCTCGCACAAAGACAGCACATTTGCCTAGGAGATCATGATGGCAACCGTAACACTTGTCCATAGTCTTCGTCAATCTGCCTCTTTTGAAATCCTAATAATAATAATTGATAATATACAACATTTATATAGCGCCCTATATAAATTGTAAAAATACTCTAAAGCCCTTTACACCATATGGATAATAGTAATGGTTATAATTGTGAGAGAAAAAAAGGCTTACAATCACTTTCATACATTTAACAAGCAATCTGCACATAATTGAACAAATAAAAGGGTGGTATTTACATGACGTCTTTGCAAAGATTCTAAAATGCAGACGTGATGAAGAGGTGAGTTTTGATGTCCCTCTTGAACTTGGCCAGGGTATTTGACTTTCTAATAGCAGATGGTAAGCTATTCCACAACGTAGGCGAAACCCTCCCAAAGCATCTGTTTCCGTAGGTCACAGTACGAGATTTTGGGACACACAACAAAGATTCTGACTCCGACCGCAGTGGTCGTGACGGCTGATACAGGGTAACAAGCTCCTGTAAAATCCTACGTAGTAAGTTTGTCCGTCAGCAGTTGACATCTGTCATGGATGTCCGAAAATTCGGAGCATTACTCTTAAATAGCTAATCAACTGCGAAATGTACACATAAATAAAGCCCATGGATAGGGGTAGCAGAGATGTTACTATCAAGAAATTGAAACTTCATGATCGAAAAGTCGAACTCGTCCAACCTATCGTACAGCTTAGTAGTAAGTAAAACGGCTGAATTAGAAAAGTCTGTCTGTAATGTCCTTGGATTCAAACTCCGGAGGATATATCTAATTATTTTCATATGTTTTGTTACCACTCCATGACTACAGCTTCATATCCAAACAAAACAAATCAGCAAGTAGAGGAACATTTTTTTGTTCACATAGAAATGTCAATAGTATGCTGGAAAATCTTGACACCGTACTCAACATAGATGTTGTCGACCAGGGACGACAGCATTCTCACAATGTCGTCATCAGTTTATTATATTTTGGCCTTTCTTACCGTCACAACTGCTCCGATGGAGTGCCGTCCTAAACTATGGAAAAGACTTGTTGACGATATCTTGAAAGTAACGCAGGTCTGTATACTTGTACATTGCGAATATCTATTTTATTTATTTTCAAATTCCATTATGCCTACATGACTACGTATTAAAAGGGACACATTGCAACTATCTTGTGTAACTGTCGAATGCGTTACACCCGGTTTTATTAGTTAACTAGTGTAATATTGTCAAAATATGGTAAAATCTATCCCGATCACAGGAAAATGTTGGCCGTACGCATAGCGACATTCGGAAATTACGGCATAGGCGTCATAGTCTAGGTTCGCAGAAGGGTTCCAAGGTTGACGGACCAATGCTATCAAAAAGACAACGAAGCACAAATGGGGAGGAAATGATGGAAAGTTTATCGGCAGACCTCCAGTATCAATACTGGACGGAGGAAAGACCAAGACAGGTGAAGACTGATTTGAACAATATCGACCAGCAGGATATCGAGGTGAATCCCTTAGATTTCCTTTCGAACAGAGATGAGTCTGCAGACAACAACAGTGCAACATCATCCAACCCAATTGTTTTTTTCATTTTGATGACGAGGAGGTCACAAACTTTGTGTTACGTTCCAGACTCAGTCAGACCTGACACTCTTTCAGTCCTTCCTGCATGCATGCTATAGGAGATAAACGAACAATGGAGGATAAACGAATCGGTGAATTGGACAAAAGTTTGTCAAGCTTCTTCCTTGGTGTCAGGAATACAGACGGTCAAGATTACAAACCGGAATCAATGGGAAGTATTGACCGCCACCGAGATAAGCAATTGCAATGATTGCCCTCCCCTAGTGATGCTTCAGACTAAATTTGGTTGAAATCCTCTCTGGCGTTAAGCAGGTGATGGATTTTAAAGCAAATTTAGGCAAGTTCCCCTTCAGGGCCCGCCCCCCTGGCCCCAGGGGTCGAACCAACCTCACTTATTTAAGAAAGGATTGCCCTCCCCTAGTGATGCTTCAGACTAAATTTGGTTGAAATCCTCACTGGCGTTAAGCAGGTGATGGATTTTAAAGCAAATTTAGCTAAGTTCCTCTTCAGGGCCCCGCCCCCTAGCCTCAGGGGTCGAACAAACCTAACTTATTTAAGAAAGGATTGCCCTCCCCTAGTGATGCTTCAGACTAAATTTGGTTGAAATCCTTTGGCGTTAAGTAGGAGATGCGTTTTAAAGCAAATTTAGCTAAGTTCCTCTTCAGGGCCCTACCCCCCTTGCCCCAGGGGTCGAACCAACTTCATTTTTTCAAGAAATGATTGCCGTCCCCTAGTGATGCTTCAGACTAAATTTGGTTGAAATCTTCTCTGGCGTTAAGTAGAAGATGCGTTTTAAAGCAATTTAGCTAGTTTCCCCTTCAGGGCCCCGCCCCCCCCCTGGTCCCAGGGGTTGAACCAACCTCACTTATTTAAGAAATGATTGCCGTCCCCTAGTGATGCTTCAGAGTAAATTTGGTTGAAATCTTCTCTGGCGTTAAGTAGAAGATGCGTTTTAAAGCAATTTAGCTAAGTTCCCCTTCAGGGCCCCGCCCCCCCCCTGGTCCCAGGGGTTGAACCAACCTCACTTATTTAAGAAATGATTGCCGTTCCCTAGTGATGCTTCAGAGTAAATTTGGTTGAAATCTTCTCTGGCGTTAAGTAGAAGATGCGTTTTAAAGCAATTTAGCTAAGTTCCCCTTCAGGGCCCCGCCCCCCCCCTGGTCCCAGGGGTTGAACCAACCTCACTTATTTAAGAAATGATTGCCGTTCCCTAGTGATGCTTCAGAGTAAATTTGGTTGAAATCTTCTCTGGCGTTAAGTAGAAGATGCGTTTTAAAGCAATTTAGCTAAGTTCCCCTTCAGGGCCCCGCCCCCCCCCTGGTCCCAGGGGTTGAACCAACCTCACTTATTTAAGAAATGATTGCCGTCCCCTAGTGATGCTTCAGAGTAAATTTGGTTGAAATCTTCTCTGGCGTTAAGTAGAAGATGCGTTTTAAAGCAACTTTCGCTAAGTTCCCCTTCAGGGCCCCGCCCCCCCCCTGGCCCCAGGGGTCGAACCAACCTCATTTTTTCAAGAAATGATTGCCCTCCCCTAGTAATGCTTTAGACTAAGTTTGGTTGAAATCCTCTCTTAGGAGGAGATAGGTTTTAAAGAAAAAATTGATGACAGAGACGACGGATTACGGACGCTGCGCCACGGCATAAGCTAAAAATACATCAATTCTTTGAAAGATTGGAAAAGTGAGGAACTTGTAATTATTGGCAGCCATTAGGAGTAGGCTGCTGATGGGGAAACACATCCTTAATATTCTAGGTGTTACTATAACCTATGCTCTCTCCTCCCTGGAATATGCCATGGCAAATAGAAGGCTTAGTGTGTGCTACCTTGTGCAGTCTAATTGGATCTTTTATGTACATTGGAAGAATCTCGCGATTTTCAAGATTTTCAAGTCAGGTGTCGTTCCTCTGTAATCTTGAAAGGAAATTAAATGTATCGGCCTAGCGATTGGTCAAGTTTATTGACATGACCATTCAGATAACTGGCCGTTTGCCTTCAATTTAGCAAAAACATATTCCAGGGGATAGAGAACTTAAGTGAGCGAATACGTAGCCCCTAGAGTACCACGGAGTGGGGTAATATTGTTAGATATTATCACGAAAGTAAGCAATGTGATACTGATCATGACAGTCTAGGAATCAAATTAAAAACAAAACAAATCATCTGAGTTGGGAATATGACATTGTAAACATTTAATCCATCATGAAATCTTTAACAAGTGTATGTATCAATATAATGTTTGTAAAACGTCCAGGATCTGTCCAGATCTGCTCGTATAGAGGTATTAACAAATATATGCTTACTACATGGAATACATTGTAAGTAGAACATTACTTCTTACAATGACGTTTTCTTAAAAGATATCCAACTAAATATAGTCACCTTAAAAAAGTAGATAGATGTATTTAGGAAATATAAAACACACACATGAATACAAAAAGGCGATCAGATAAAAAAAGAAAATTAGCATTATTCCAACGTGTATACTTTTCCCCTGATGTTTTTTCACAATTGTCAATAAATGTGTAACAATTTGTATACGTGAACACTTACAGCGCGAGGTAAGCCTCAAACGTCCATCTCGTCTATTAGGAGGTAGCGATGGATGAGGGGAGGTAACTCTATCTGTCTAAGTTTTTGTAGGAAACCTGGTTTTAAAAGGCGACGTATTCGGACCCTACAGTGTTGTTGTAGATACACCGGGCGCACCTCGAGCTTCAATTCTCGCTCTAGCGTGGCGTAAAACTCACCGAATGTGAGCGTCTGGGAGATAGCCGGTCGGTCAAACCGGGCTCCTGCAAGAATGAGAATACGTGTGATCTCCAGATGCCCCTTAGCTAAGGCATGTAGCAAAGGGGACACACTGACTCCCTCGACCCATCCTGTCAGCGTGACGTCACAGTTGTAGTAGACAAGAAGTTTGACACAGGAGATCGCGCCACGCTGCACTGCATACAGGAGTGGCGTCTTGTGCAGGTAGTCACGCGAGTCAAGGTTTGCACCGCCCTCCACCAGAGCGCTCACAAACTCCACTTTATCGCGTATCACTGCACCATGTAAGGCAGTCTGGCGACGTTTTGTGCTGGAATGATTGATGTCGGCTCCAGCAATAATGAGATTCAAAATGGTTTCCACAGTTGGTGCATATATCGTCGCCCAGATGAGAGGAGTGAAGCCACCCCATACCTCCGCGTTCGGGTTGGCTCCATTCTGTAGTAGGAGGGACACCATTTCTACATCGCCATAGCGACTTGCCCAGCAAAGACCCGAGTCTAATGTCACCTGCTGACAGCCCAATCCCAGAATACACATGGCTCTGTCGCTATCGTTGGCATGTATGGCTGCGAGCAGATCTACATGACACGTGTCAACTGGGCATCCTTCTGGTTCATCCCTGATCTCCCCTGGAACCATGAACTCATCCACCTCCATATTGAAATTTTAACTGGCCCTTATTTCTTGTATTGGCCTTTAAGTCTCTGTAGCTCTTTCAGTGTAGATCAGTGGCCAGCCCCTAGTAGCCCCTTCCTTCCCTCAATTTACCAATTTTAGTCAGTTTGACACTGTTCCTCTCTGCAACTCCTTTCTCTTGTAGCCCCTTCCTCTCTTAATCTTTTGATTTCTAGCTCGGTTGTTAATCCCACTCTTTAACCCTCAATCTCTGCAGCCCCGTCCTTCCTTAGATGTCCATCTTCTGATATCTACATAATGTTATCCCGTTTCATAAGTTCCTCTCCTTTCTGAAACAATGAAAGCAACACGATGTTGATATTCATATCAATAAGATGCATTAGTTATCTCGAACCAATGCTTAATAACACGACATTTGGGAAACGAGTTCCATGTCGATTTATAAAATTCAAATGGTGCTTATATAAAACACGGCACCTATAAATGTTTCTTATACACGTTACATCTAAGCAAGTTTGGTAGTACCAAGTAACATACAATGTATATATATAAAAGTGTGTGTAAATTTCAAAACCAAAATATCGCCAAACTGAAGTTTTTGTCTTCAAGTCTGAAAATTTAGCGACTTGGCGATCGTTAATGCGATCCATGATAATATACCTAACACATGTGTTATACACGTCACAGATGAACAAAGTTGTGATATATTAATAATACCTCAATACACTTTTGTATTTGTGCTTCGTCGGCGAGATTTCTGTTCTTTTCGAACTCCTTCCTGACCCTCTTAAGGTAGAAGTCCTTGTCGGTGAGACGCAGAGTATGGCCCTTCCTGATCAGAGCGCGGTACAGACTTAAAGCCTTGCTATACTGGTGATTCATACCTCACGTCACCCTGGAAACAAAAAGTAATATTGTCAGTAAAAGCATACAATTGATTGTACCTTTGGAAACGCACAGCATTGCCTATCCAAATCTAACACACCCCATCCTCGATATTCCAGGGGTTACGCTCACTTACGCTCTGCGCACCCATGGAATATGTCACAGTGCAAAATTGAAGGCACGCGGCTAGCTATTTGATTGGTTTCGGGTGAAAAAGCCTGACTAATCGCTAGACTGTCCTTTAAAGATAACAGAGGAGCGGCACCCAACTTCAAAGCCTGTCTACTTTACAGTTATGTGACCGACATATTCTTTTGATATACATCAAAGGATCAAACTGGTCTTCTCGTCTCACCCACAAGGTTATGCACATTGAGCCTTCGAGCTGTAGAGAGCAAAAGTGAGCGTAACCCCTGCATTATCGAGGATGCCATTGGACCACACAACAGGTTGGACACATCTTAATAGTACCATGACTTGTTCCCTTGTCGTTTTATGTTGTGTCTTCAAAGCGGAGGGATAAAACAAAGTAAAGATTAATGAAACGCATATTTAAAGTGTAGTTTGAGGCGTAGGACTCAAAATTAGTGAAATATGCAAAGGAAGACAACCACGACTACTGTACATGTGTGGACTGATTGTTGATGTAAAAATAATCTAGCTGGGGAATAGACCTGTCGAGCACAGAACGGACATTCTCCATGACTAAATAACTTAAATAGATACCCAACCATATACGAAACCTAAAGGCACAATGAAAGTGAAGGCAGCCTCCGGTTTGCCTAGGTAGGATCCTTCCTGTAACGGGGAGGCGCACTACCGGCCCGAGACCTTGTGAGGAAATATTCTCTGATAGATCAACAATAGTATAGAACTTATAAGGAAGTACATTGTATTCTCCGGTAGATACACAATAGTATGGACCTTGTAAGGAAGTATTCTCTGATAGATACACAATAGTATAGACCTTATAAGGAAGTATTCTGTTATAGATACACAATAGTATAGACCTACACAATAGTATGTACCTTGTGAGGAAGTATTCTCTGATAGATACACAACAGTATGGACCTTTAGAGGAAGTATTCTCCGATAGATACACAATAGTATAGACTTTGTAAGGAAGCATTCTGTTATAGATACACAATAGTATGGACCGTATAAGGAAGTATTCTCTGATAGATACACAATAGTATGGACCTTGAGAGGAAGTATTCTCTGATAGATACACAATAGTATAGACCTTGTGAGGATCGTATTCTCTGATAGATACACAATAGTATAGACCTTGTGAGGAAGTATTTACTGATAGATACACTATAGTATGGACCTTGAGAGGAAGTATTCTCTGATAGATACACAATAGTATAGACCTTGTTAGGAAATATTCTCTGATAGATACACAATAGTATAGATCTTATAAGGAAGTACACATTCCCTCACAGAATGAACAGTTTGAGGGTTTTCTCCTACTAAAAAGCAGTACTCCTTTGTATTAATAATGGACACCTTTTTGTGTTAAGAATGGACAGCTATTGAACAACGTATCAGTAATGAAGTGAACAATGAGGAGGTATTGGTGTATGCAGCATGAGCTATGTGGTCATTCATGCATGTAAAGGTTATTGCATGGTTTTCGAGTAACAAGGGATTTATTACACCCGAGCGTCGCTCGGGTGTAATAAGTCCCGAGTGACGAGAAATCATGCAATAACTGGCTTACTGCATGCTTCCCAACTCGAACAAAACAGAAAAGTTGAGTAAAAAGTGTTCACCTGGACAATCTTTTTACCTACCCTACACTGCAGATAATTTACATGTACCTATGTGAGTGAGTACTTATCATAACCAGGTAAGATTCTCAATAGCCCAGTCTGAGTGTATCCTTCATAATGGATACAAGTGTTTTTTGATTACTATCCAGGTCCAGTGTCAGGGAAGGTAAGGAGTGTCTGTTCAAAATATGGGAAACAATGTTGAATTTCTGACTACATTTTCAGTTTGATTTTCAGGATGTGGCAAAGGTACAGGATATTGAAACCATTTTCATATATACAATGTAAGGGTTTATCAATCCCTAAGGAATTCCAGTTCTTTCAATGAATGGTATATTTGAATGTGCAATTTTGTATAAAGGAACAGCTCCTTAAGATTATAAACTTTTCCGGGAAATGCTTATCCTCTCACGTGATAAGGAAATCTGTTTGTGTTTTTCAATCATGAAATTACCATTTTTAACTTTCATTTTTTCCCCTTATTTGAAATGTGTCAACTAAGATTATCCTCTACTGTATTGACTTCATCGTTACTCACCGATTGATTATCTCCCTTTCTTACAGCATTTGTGGCCACAGTCCACTGGGCACACCCCCTTTCATGGTCATGTAATCATGATTGGCCTTGAAAGGGGATTATGTGTGCAGTGGACTGTGGTAGCAAGTGATTTATTGCCCACACTTTTCCATTGTGAGAGGTGGAAGTATGCAGTAAGAATGCATATTGTTAACTTATTCCACAGTTTCAGGTAGCATGACTATATTTGGAAATGCACATGATTTTCCTGTCCAAAATAATGATATAGCATGGATTTAGATAGCTAATCTAATTCTGTGAATATAATGAATCTTGAGGATTTGTCAGTCAGTCCAGCTTGGTAATTTCAAGGGAGAACGTGTAATTCTCAGGAGACCACGTCATACTGCTGTCAACATCACTATTGAAGAATTTTAATGTAATGAAATGTTGATTAAGACAACACATCGAAAAGAGAACAACAAAGAAAGTTTACTGAACAAATTACTGAAGCAAAGTGTAAAGCAATTAAAACCTCTAGTAAAACACCTTAACCAACACTGGTGTCGACAGTTCCAGGACATATAACCATTGTATTCCGGAAACATCAGGAAATGTTAATTGGATTAATCAGCTATCCTACCTCTAAGTATGGATCATTGTGTGTCAGAGGATTTGTAGGATTATTTCTGAATCAGCTGCAATTTTTTTCCCATTCCATCAATATTCATACTTCAAAATAATTACTGGATTACCGTATTCCCTCATCAAGCAAGTTTAACAGCATTCAGTTGGATGAATTTGTTCATGAAATACATTTTTCCTCAATAAAAATCAACAGTGGTAATTTTGTCAGCTGGATTATCTATGGATGAAATATAACTATCTGTGGCGTTTCGATGGATAATATTTGATGTACTGTATACCTGGAATTAGATCAGAATTAGATGCTGTATCTTAGTCTGTGGTACATGCATGTATGTCTAGTAAATCCATTTGTTGAATAAAAAAGAGGCCCAGAGGGCCTGTATCGCTCACCTGGATACCTAAGCAATCATGGCAAAATATTCTCCAAATGAGATAAAGGGAATATGACAGACACCAAGGCCAATTTTATGTATGGTTACAGGTTTGGGATCTCAACTGTTTCCAAGCTTTGACTCAGTAACTAGGTCCCTAGAGTTGTGGCCAGACCCCAGGATCGATTCTAATATCATGACTGCATTTGTCTCTTTTTGCCCAGCATTTGTGTATATAGTTTTGGGGTGGAGATCTCAACCGTTTCAAAGTTATGACCCAGGGGCCAAGTCTGCAAGGGTGGGGCAGACCCTGGGATCAATTCTAATATCATGACTGCATTCGTCTCTTTATGCCCAACAATTGTATATATAGTTTTGGGGTGGGGATATTAACCATTTCAAAGTTATGACCCAGGGGTTACGTCTCCAAGGGTGGGGCAGACCCCAAGGCCAACCTGGAAGCATATGTGCAATCATCTCTTTATACTCAGCAATTGTATATATACGGTTATAGGGTGGGGCTCTCAACTGTTTCCAAGCTGTGACTAAGAAACTAGGTCCCTAGGGGTTCGGTCAGACCCCAGGGTCTATTCTGATATCATGATTGCATTCGTCTCTTTATGCCCAGCATTTGTATATATAGTTTTGGGGTGGGGATCTCAACCGTTTTAAAGTTATGGCCCAGGGACTATGTCTCCAAGGGTGGGGCCAGACCCTACGGACATCCTGGAAGCAAATGTGCATTCTTCTCTTTATACTCAGCAATTGTATATATGGTTATATGGTGGGGATCTCAACCATTTCCAAGTAATACATTTTATTGGCCCCACCCCTTAGCCCGGGGGGTCAGCCCCACCATTTGTACAATTTTGAATCCCCACCTCCCATGAATACTTCCGACCAAATATGATCAATATAAATGGCACGGTTCTGCAGAAGTCGTTTATAGCAATATAACCAAATTGCCCCCTTTTGGCCCCGCCCCTCAGCCCCCTGGGGGGTCAGCCCAACAATTTGTACAATTTTAAATCCCTGCTTCCCAGGAATGCTTTTGATCAAATAAAATTGATATCCAGTGCACAGTTCTACAGAAGAAGTCGTTTGAAGCAATATAGTCAAATTGCCCCCTTTTGGCCCCGCCCCTAAGCCCCCTGGGGAGTCAGTCCCACCATTTGTGAAATTTTTAATCACCACCACCTAGGGATGCTTTCAGTCAAATATGGTTGATATCCACTTCTTAGTTCCAGAGAAGAAGCCACTTAAAGCAATCTGGCCAAATTGACCCCTTTTGGCCCCGCCCCTCAGCCCCCTGGGGGGTCAGCCCCACCATTTGTACAATTTTGAATCCCCATCACCAAGGGATGCTTCCAGTCAAATTTAGTTTAATTCCAACCAGTGGTTTAGAAGAAGAAGTCGTTTAAAGAAATTGTTGACGTACGTACGGACAGACGGACGACAGACGACACAGTATGGCATAAGCTCACCTTGGTCCTTTGGACCAGGTGAGCTAATAAATAGTTGATTTTCTTCTCAAATCTGCTTGTGCTTATACATGTGAAGGCATTTTTGTTACCTGCAACTGTCCATTATCAAACACAACTATAATGGACGGCTACTGCTTAATAATGGACAGCAACAGGTATTTCTTTGTAAATTCTTCTGTATATAATGAACAACAAGAACAAAGGATGTGTTTAACTAGTATTCAAATCACAGGTTATATTATCACTGTCTCACGGCCTGCAGGTACAAATAGACAGGTTTTGTAGTCCTTAGAGAATAAAATGAGAATACATAAGTGTTAACAAATTTGTTATTCGACCTCAACATTGATGTGTCATTATGTGTCATGGGTCAATATGTCTTTAAGTGTCATCATGTGTCATCATGTGTCAATTTGTGTCAGTATGTGTCATTATGTGTCATCATGTGTCATTATGTGTCATCATGTGTCATTATGTGTCAGTATGTGTCATTATGTGTCATGTGTCATCATGTGTCATTATGTGTCATGATGTGTCGTGTCATTATATGTCATCATGTGTCATTATGTGTCATCATGTGTCATTATGTGTCATCATGTGTCATGTGTCATCATGTGTCATTATAAGTCATGTGTCATCATGTGTCATTATGTGTCATGATGTGTCGTGTCATTATACGTCATCATGTGTCATTATGTGTCATGTGTCGTTATGTGTCATGTGTCAGTATGTGTCATTATGTGTGATGTGTCATCATGTGTCATTATGTGTCATTATGTGTCGTGTCATTATATGTCATCATGGGTCATTATGTGTCATCATGAGTTATGATGTGTCATTATGTGTCATGTGTCATCTTGTGTCATTATGTGTCATGATGTGTCGTGTCATTATACGTCATCATGTGTCATTATGTGTCATGTGTCGTTATGTGTCATGTGTCATTATGTGTCATGTGTCATTATGTGTCATTATGCAAAATACATGAGATACATGTATAAACAAAGGAAAAGATTAATGGCGTCCCTTTAAATATGTCAAGGAGAACGTTTCCTGCTAAAATGACGACACCCCGTCATTAATCTAGGGAAATCTGAGTAACATACTATCCTTAAAGAGCAAACTTGGGTTACGCATCCAAACCACAATGCACACTATAATGTTTAATCAAAATCGTTGACATTCATATCGCACAAGGCAATATAATACATGTACAGTGTATGTCACAATGAGATCAGGGCAACCGCCCAAAGTCTGAATTGTCCTGCTCCTCTTGAAACCAAATGATACTCATTGCAAACAAGAAAATAATTCTTAAAAGATATAATAGATAGATTTAGGTGCAAAAACATATATTTTTCTCGGTTCCTATGTCCAAAATAAAATTGAAGAGGCGTTTGGAATAGAGTCCATTCCTGATAACCAATTTTGACAGAGCACAGAGACTTGAAATTGATTTTTTTCAAAAGTTAAGGGTTAAGGTCAAGTCAAAGGTCACAGTGACCTATAGCTACTTCTAAATGCACTCCGCCATTCCAAGATGTCTTTGTACACCAAATCTGGTAACTCCAGGTGAAATAGTATAGAAAATAAGCCCTGGACAAACTTCTTGGACTGAAAGACGGACAGACTAAATAGAGACAATACCAGGGCATCCTTGTGATCAGCATTTTGTCGAAAAAGCACTATTTACACTGTTGGATATAAATGACATTTTGTACAATCATGTGGCGAGCTACACAATTAAAGTTCCTTCAGGAGAAATTATTTACGTATGTATAAATAACAAACTTACATAATCACATCTTTATTATATAAATCAAACACAACAGTATACTGTAATTTATAACATTACAGCACTAACAGTCATCCCTTTTCTTGTTGTTACTTTTGTTGTGGCATGATCCAGATTAAACTTGTTTTGTAGAGGAGCAGGGTGGGGTTTTTTTTTTGGGGGGGGGATGCTTTTCTGTTAACTTTAAAAATGTGAAGATTATGCCAGGTACCGAATCCGTGAAAACTAGTGGTAGAATCTACCATTTAGCTATTTTCCAATTCTTCAGCTTCTTCAAATTTTTCTTCAATGAACTTTTTCTCCTTGGCTTCTCTTAAATAAAGTTTGCTCTCAAGCTTTTTGATCAGAGCATTTTTTGTGTCTTTTGATCTGTCAGATGCACGGATGATGATTTCACCTTGAAATTGTAACGGAATGTCATCAAGATTAACACCATCAGTGTAGACTACAGCTAAACACCCCTCCTTTTGCTCCTCCTGTACACTTTCTGCAAGACACATATCCTGGTAAAATGAGTACAAATCATTTTTATTAGTTCTACTTGTTATATACAGGAAATCAAATGTAAATCTTGCTAAAGACTTTTCTGGGCCTGAGAAGACAGATTGCCCTGGAAGTACTTCGTTTTCCATCAATGATGCTTTCACATTGACACCTGACTGCCCCGGTCCACCCCGCATCTGTAGTGTCCGTAGATATTTGCAGTATTTTCCAGCATCCTCATTGTCCTCTTCACTGCACAACATCAAAACATCACCAAACTCTTCAAGATTGAACCAGTTCTTAATTAATTTTATTTTGTAGCTATATTCATGACGTTCTCTTGGTGAAAATAATTGACTGACAAAGCTGTAGCTCTCCTGATCATCATCTGGTTGATTTCCTGCAAAACAGATAAATTATAACTGTGATAATTAAATAAAAGTAACTATTTAAACATAATATTAACAACCCCCCTCCCCCCCTCTCAAGTTTGATAAGGTATTATATTAGCGTGTCCGTCTTGCACGTTGATTTCAAATGAAACATATCAGCTTAAAAAAAATTGGGGAGAACCCTGTAATTATATGCCACCGGCTGCACTTTATCATCTACTCCCACTAAAACATCAGGTCAAAACACCCATGAAAAAGATATAATAAAAGGAATTTGCAATCACAGAACAAATTTACTTATCACGTACACAGTTTTATATATATATTGATCAAGATGTAGAGGTAAGTAGAAGCAATCTCAAAGGAAGGGCAAGTGGAATTCCCTCGATATTATCAGCTATGTGTGCTTACTACTTTCATAATAATCAATCCAGAAATTAAGTAGCTGTAGAAAAAGAATATAATAAAGAATAGGGACGAATTAACACCCAACAAGATTACCAAAATCAATGACGTTGGTGCCTTAGATTCTTCAGAAAAGAGTAATTTGAGGGTTTTACCAAATTTGTTTGAATGAACTTTAACGTATTCAAGTCATTTAATTTATAGCAAACCTTTTAACATACCATGTCAAAACTGATTTATTACTTAACAAACGACAAGATATTTCAAAGATGCAAATATTGCACAGTTAATGTATTTCAATGCACCCCTTAGTGGCCCCGTTTTGTGCAGTTTTTCTTTCCCTTCGCGACTTCGTAGAACACGAACTAGGGCTGCTATTTCATGAATATCAAAATTATTAAACTGTCGGTTTATTACAAATGTAGAAGAATTCAAAAATGACCAAAATCGTAACCCCTTCTTTGCCCTCTAAAGGACACTTAGAAATTGGCAAACTATATTTCCTTTCCAAATCTGAATCCTCATCAGAAAAAATTACTTCCAAACTTTTTTTTAGTTGAAATCTATCCAGTACTTATTGAGAAAAAATTGTTTCAAGATAAACGATTTACAGGGGACAGGTGACAGACAATAAACGATGATTAGTGGATGATGGACGATAGATAACTGACAATGGACTATAGGCAACAGATCAAAATTACCTCATTTTGCAGGACAATCCATGTGGATAGAATATTTCAAGTGTTACTATATATATGGATACTGGCAAGACTGTGATGGTCAGAGGAATAATATACTGTACTTGATAATAAAATTTATATATTCTCTCTCCCCCTTGACACGTGTTTGGCAACTTAAGAATCTTTCCCTGGGGGTTGAGATTCCCAATCCCACCTCAAGGGGGTGAATGATTCTTTTTCTCTTCCCCAGCTGCTCACCCATGCCATTGTGTATCATATAAATAATGTAATGCTAATATTACAGGCTCAATACAGGGTTGTCGTGACGTTGATGCAATGTTGATGTGATATCATTGTATTGTTGACGTGACGTCACACAATTGTAATGAATAGGGGAATCACCTGTCTCAACCCTAGGGTAAGACTAATAAAATCTTCCCCTACCTTGACGGTGTGACAGAGAAATCTCCTACCCGAGGGGTGATGTATTTTGGTTGTCTAATTAATCTGAGGCTCTGCCGAGGGTTAGACATTACCAAAAACAAATCACCCCAAGGGTTGGAGACTTCTCTGTTACACGCTCAAGGTAGGGGAAGATTGTTTTTCTCCAATATCTGACTGCTGACTTGCCTAGGCTAGGGGGTGACAATGCAAGCTGATCTTTCCCAGCTTGTAAACCGGGAGGCACACTTGTGAAAGGTGGGAGAAAAGGATATTTCACACCAGAAAAAGTGCAGATACACCAGTCTAGAGTAAGAGAAATTTGAATCCCAGATAACTTCAGTTTACCTACCTCCAAGTTCTCCAGGAGTGGAATTCATTGTTGGTGCAGCATCACAAGATAAGTCTTCATCTCCATCCCATTCACTGTTCAGCACACTACTCATCATGTGGAACAGCTTTGTTCATCAAGAAACAAGAAATATCTTTTATAAAGATAATTAACCGCAGGGTTTCCTTGTATGTGGTTATTACCCTAGCTAGTCCGAAATAACTGTGTACTTAAAACATTGCTGAAAAGATGTGAACAGATTTATCCCCAAAAAATAGACACAGTTCATGAGGAAATTGTAGTAATATTGTTCACATGCTGATCATTAAAAAGGATATACATGTAGTTATTTCGGTAACTTATAATGGCATGACCATAGTTCAATGACTAGTCAAGTTATCTCCTGCCAATTCGACAGTCAAATGATCTTTACCAATCAATGCCTTTTAACCCTTTCACTGGACAGGGAGCATTGTCTTGACAGGGTCGGTCAGCCAACCCGCTTCATCATTGGGTTATCGTACCTCATTGTACTTTTTATTGGATTATGTTGAAAGAATGTCGCCCTTTTATGTTCATAAAGTTACATTTACATTTGCGCTGCAACCCACTATATGAACATTACCTTCAGAAATGCATTTCGTTTGAGTATGTATGAAAGCAAAAACTCTCGTGACGTGGTTTACTTACGAGGTCATAGATTAACCTTGTTCAATGAGAGTTTTGTCGCTTTGCTTCAAATAACAAGAAGAATGCCCCTACGTCAAATGCTTAAATGACTACGGTTAATTATTGGCACTAATTTTTAAATAGAGCTGTTCCGCCAATGTCTTTTAAAGGATATGACGCATATATACTAAACGCAGTAAATTTATTATTTAAGAACAAATAAATACAATTAGGCAATTGTTCTATAGTAAAAAAGTAAATATATGGATTGAATGGGTTTTTTTTTTTTATGTCGATATGAAAATTAAAAAAAATGCGCCTCAATCCCTATAAAAGAAAAGATTTGTTTTCGTTTCACTTTATTCCCCATTTCAGTAATTAAATTGTTACTAAAATGGGTAACTGTTACACAAATGCAGGATTATTACCCATATCAATTCTTTTTCCTGTCTTCAACTGTTCAAGTGCTGATTACATCTAAGCTTACAGTAATATTCTCCCGTGTTCAGTTTTCGACGGTCGTTTATTTCCGGGTCGCGTGTACGCTTGCGGGTCATGTCAGGGGTGATCACGGAGGCTATGTTTTGACGCCGGCACACTTGCAACAATTCTCTTCTTTTTTTTAGGAAAAATTATCTGTACTGTAAGTAACTTCTACTTTTACCGTAACGTAGTGTTTAAACCCCGTTTTGCATAATTCCAAAATTACACCAAGTTTAACACCCTTAAAGACCCATGAAATTAGCCTGAAAGTGTTTGTGACTTCTCGTCTGCTTTGCTGTCATACAGCTCCTTCAAAATCACGTGACAAATGTGGGCGGAGACACAGTTCAGAAAAAAAATGTAAGCCAAGAGATGTCAGCTTATCATTGCGTACGCGATTCGCAGAATTTTAGTTTGCTTTCGTACCGACATCTTGTTGAATAAGTTCATTTCCTTTTATTCGGAGACATAAATAAAAGATACTTCCCTTATTTTAGGTAAAAAGTCAATAAAGAGGGGAACAAATTGGTGACAATTTCTTCTCTCATGATCGTACCAGGGACTGAGGGAGAGGGTTGAGCAGTAACTAACTTTTCCTTGCTATGAAAACAAAAAGTTACCATCGAAAAATCTTTGAAATGTTTTAAACTGTTTAAAATGACTATTCCGTGCTAATTTCTGAAGTTAATGAGATTTATTTGCCTCAAACAGATATATAGTTAAACAGTTTACGTTGGAGTTAACTTTTTTCTGTCCTATTTTGCCACCGTACAGTGGAAAGTATGACCGTCGAATACTGATGACGTAGTACGCAAGCACACAAGTTAGGCAGTCACCATGTTTGTTGACATTTTCTAGCGGTGTATTATCAAATATTATAATTGATCTTTTATAGAATTAGGGCAATAATAGTAAATGACTTAACTGGCCATAGGCTTGGAATAAATTTATTTGACATGGTTCGTCAAAAAGCGATTTTGCTCTTACACCGTCGAAAACCGATGACACCAGGGTGCTGTGACGTTGGTTGCTAATGTTGTCCTATTATATGAATTAGGACTCATTTACCAGTGTTATCCTTGCCACCTGTTCACTCTGGCTGTCTGGGGGCGGGATGTCCCCCTGATCGCGCGCGATCACAGGGGTACGTTACAAATACATGAAATACACATATGCTATGTACTGATATGGGTCATGATCACAGCACACATACACATGCACGTGCATGTGTTTATCAGTATAGCATATGTTTATTTCAGACATTTGTAACGAACCCCTGTGAGCATGTGGTGTGATGGTGTGTTTGACTTTTGAGCCTTTGAAGATCGATGTGTGCACGGTAAGCTGTATGCTGGAGGTAGTAAACCAGTATAAAAATATGCGTTTTGCTTGTTATGAACTTAAAAGAAATATTGCAACAGCTGAAAAGTACAGAAATTCATACAAACCTGTCTTATGCCAATGTCTGTCAAACTTGCGACGCAGTAGCTCTATGGTGAACTTCGAATTCCAGGTACTTAAAACGTTTTAATGTTTACATCCCATCAAGTTGTACTATTCTAGCCTGGTAGTGCGTCGTACAAACCGGGAGAGCCCGGTAGTGAAATTGCTTCGGTTTGACGGACTGGACCACAGGGACCTGAAAATTTGTTACAACTATATTTGGACCTAAACTAAGGTGTTCAGAGTAATTTTACATGTTTTAGGTTTAGATCGACTTTCGGTAAAAATGACAAGTCGATCTAAACCCCTAAAATATGTAAAATTACGCTGAACACTTTTTTTTTTTTTTTAAGGTCCAAATGTTAGCTGTAACAAATTCTCAGGTCCCTGTAGACTGGAAATCGTTCTTCGAACTTTGTTATAATATAAGTAGTTATATGATATATGGTAGGTTTTTGGATCTGATGTTGCTTAATAAAAACTTTCAACAAATTATAAGGCATGGACATAGATTGATATGTAACTGCATGTATTTCGTGTACCTGTCCTAATCTTAATTAATTTGTTATAGAGCCTCTCTTTCGTTTTGCGGAAATAATTTATCTGAGAGTTAGCCCATTGCATTGGTTGCAATATTTTTGCTGGTCACTTTGGTTGGCACATGATTTTTAACCAAATTTTGTATTCAAGCTTTAAAAAGTTGCTTTAATTCTTCCAGTGTGACTAGCTGCTGATGATTTAAAATGTCCATGTTCACCTTTTCCACAAGTTGATAATTCTTTTAGGCTGTCTAATTCTTGCTGGAGATAAGTTGGCCTCAATGAAAACAATATGGTCACCCACAGACTTATATTCTAATCCAATTCCGTGGGTCACCTAAGCTTGGAGGGAAAGTTTGTGAAAATTTTGAATTTGAATCGAAACCCAGATGGAAACATACACTATTAATTAATTATCCAATGAGGCTGTAACACTAATATAACATGAATCTGTTATCTGGAGTACAGTTTCATTCTGGACTGGGGCAAGTATCCCAGGTCTGTGCCCCCGGGCATGTAGCAATACAAGTTTCTGAAGGTAACTGATTAGGTGTATACCTGTACATAATCGAAAGCTCAATTACAGGTGAATAGATATATTGGTTATGTAATGAGGACGAAAGACGAAATAAATTTTAATTTTTTGTTATATGTAAATAGGAATAATTAACTTGTCGAATCAGGGAACACTTCAAAATACTAATGTTCTACTACACCAGTCCAAATGTTACAATAATCTAAATATGCAATATTGCAAAGGAGTCTCGAAATATTATTAAATACAGTGTAATATTATAATGGACACCTAGGAACCCTTTATTAAATCAGACAGTCCATTGTTTTTTTGCAAAAGTGGACTGTCTGCTGTTGACGGAATTAAAACACAAATTTGAAAAGTAAACACGTTGATAGAAAATAAGGAATGAATTTCATAGTATACTGCACTGTTTAAAGTTCAAGGTAAACATTTTTACAGGAAAACTAAACATAAACAAATCTTAACTGCTTCTAAATTTCCATTTCATACAGTTTTCTTTCAATTTCACTCTGTACACTAGTTGCTCTAGATCTCCACCCTCTCTGTATTTTGTTCTCATCTGCCAGGACTACAAAGTCAGTATAATATCTTCGGAAATTACACTGATATCCACTGAACGGGAAACAGATTTATTCCTGTGTACCCGAAAATTGCAATCCATACCAGGGTACTCAAAATAAATGATAATGAAAATACACAACCTGTGATTTATACGTACAATGTAGCTGCAAATAACACAATTTCCATCAACTGGCCGGTTTATCATTGTGAAACAACAAATCAAACTAGTGTATTTTGTTCTTCTTTAAAAAAAATTGTAACATTGGAGCGATTAACTATTTTTCTTTCTTCATTCACAATATTATAATTAACATATATTTTTATTTCTGAAATCAGAATATGTGGTCAAACTGTTCAAAATATAAACTTCAATGTTTATTAACCTAATAGACACAATACACATCTGAATGTTATCACACAGAAATTTTGTAATAAATTAGTGCTGAAAATAATTGTGTAAATAATTGCTTATTCATCAAAAACTTTAATTTGACCATCTATTATCAAATTTATATTTCGAATTGTTCATATCTAGCAACTCAAGTGTGTCTTAATACAAAACAAGTTTATATGACATTTAGATGGAATTTGACCTTATGCATGTTACATTGTCGTTAATTGTAATTATCTACGTCAATATCTATATCCATTGTGACATTTAAGAAAAATAATGATATAGCATGGATTTAGATAGCTAATCTTATTCTGTGGATATAGTGAATCTTGAGGATTTGTGAGTCAGTCCAGCTTGGTAATTTCAAAGGAGAACATGTAATTCTCAGAAGACCACGTCATACTGCTGTCAACATCACTATTGAAGAATTTTAATGTAATGAAATGTTGATTAAGACAACACATCGAAAAGAGAACAAGAAGGAAAGTTTACTGAACAAATTACTGAAGCAAAGTGTAAATCAATTAAAACCAATCAATCAATCAATCAATAAAATATTTTATTATAGTGTCACATGTTAATATACATAAATCAAATAAGTCAATATATTACAAATACAGGTAAAACTATATTAACATCCAGCCGTTACTGGCTTATGAGACACTTAATAAACGATAATACACACTTTGAAATTAGTCGTGCAGCATAAAATAGCTACTAACGTTGCAATATATAATGATATAATGTACAAGTAAAATATTGTAACCAAAATAACAATATACGTACATTTAAGTGTTAAGACAGATTATAACCTATTTAATAAATAATAATAACCACTAAAATAGGTAGAAATTTCATAAAAATACTCTCCGCCTGCGGAACATTAAAAATACAGTCTTGCCTAAGAAATATTGAATATCTACATTGTCCATCAACAAATTAAACTTTTCATCATTATCACAGATATTAAAAGTATCACATAATTGTCTCATACGGTAAAACAGAATAAAACGCAAGTCACTATAAATAGGACATTCACATAAAAAATGAACTTCTGTTTCCACGGTGTGTGGACAAAATGGACAAAAACGTTCATTAAGGGGGGTCGGGGGACTGTTAAAACGACCAGTCTCGATCATAAGGGCAGCACTGCCACATCGCAATTTGGTCAGAACGCTCCGGTAAGGCCTAGGCATGTATTGTCGAACATAATGCTCCGGTTTTGAATCTTTTTTGAATTTCCGGTAAGTCCGTAACTTATTACCGTTTACCAATCCGCGGTCGTTCCAGAGATTACCAAACCATTCACTTTCGTCTATTAGTTTTACCTTTGTCCTTATTACTTTCATGGCCGACGGAGTAAGTTTGGTACCGGATTCTAAAATGTCAACAATGTTGTATTTATTCCCAAGTTTAAGTACACGGGATTCCCACGAGTAACGTCTTCGTTTAGACCACACATGTATTTTGTTTAAAAGCCGATTAGGGTCCGCAGATCCGACACGACAGTATAATTTAAAAACTTCAGTCCTCTGTTTACTGAGGAGAGATAACCATCCCATATCGCCTTTCACTCCAATGTTGGATGTGTTTTTTGTAGCACCAAGAAAAACTTTCATCGCGCGATTTTGAACCTTGTTTATCTGTTTTTGCTCACACTGGCCCCATATCGCTGAGCAGTAAAGAAGGATAGGTTGGACCAGGCTTTCATATAGTTTAGTGAAAACAGAATATGTCATTCCTCCCGCGTAATAGAACTTTGAAGTGAGTAATCCAAGCGCACGACTAGCAGACTTCGCTAATTCCGTCACGGCTATATCCATTTTTGCATGATCGTCAAACCAGAGACCCAAATACTTATAGCGATCCATCCGTTCTAAAGAGTGTCCGTCACAGCGAAATGGAAATTGAGTTGGCGGTACATTAGAAGGTCTGAAATGGACTATCTTTGATTTCCCAGCGTTAACTGACAGTCGCCATCTAGTGCACCAAGATGACACTATATTTAAAAGCGACTGGAGATGTTCCTCTGATGACGTCATCAGCACTATATCGTCAGCGTAAAAAAGACCGCTAAGACTAACACCGTCAATATCAAGCCCAAGGCCAGACGCATTTAATTCCTCAATCAGGTCGTTAATATAAATCGCGAATAATGTCGGCGAAGCCAAACAGCCCTGTTTTACACCACGTGACACCGATAGCCAATCAGTATGCAAGCTATTGACGCGTACACAGGAAGTGACGTTGTCGTAGAGTGCGAAGACTGCGTTGTATATTGAACCTTTAATTCCAGTCTGTAGAAGTTTATACCACAAGCACTCTCGATCAACAGTGTCAAACGCTTTACGTAGGTCAATAAAACATGAGTGCGTAGATTGTTTCGTGTTAATCCTGTTCTTTACAACATTATATAGAGAGTATACATGCTCCTGGCAACTCCTATCTTTCCGAAAACCATTTTGAGCGTCGTGAAGGATGTTATGCTGTTCAAGCCAATTGCTTAGTCGACGATTGAGAATATCACAATACACCTTACAAGGTACGGATAGTAAAGTTATGCCACGGTATGTTAACGGATTTCCATGTTCCGTAGAATTCGGTTTCACAATCGGATTAATGATTCCTTGTTTCCACTGATCCGGAACAACTCCGTGGTTAAAACAATGTGTAATTAAAGTGTGTATAATATCAATACAAGCATTGTTTTTTAAAACTTCCGCCGGGATACTATCTATTCCTGTCGCTTTGTTTGATTTTTTTCTCCATATGGCGTCCGCGATCTCATGACGTTGTATAGGTAGGTTTAGTTCAGAGATGTCAAAGTTATGTTTAATGGGCACGGTATTGTTGGTAACATGTTCTTGTATCGAACGGAGATGGGCGTCATCAAATGATTTCTCAGATCCGTCTGTTGCATAAAGGCTTTCGTAGTCTGATCGCCAACGTTCTAGTACAAGTCGAGTGTCGCTAATTATGTTACCCTCACTATCTTTGACTTCCAACGGTATCGTTGATGTTCGCTCGTTAACAATCCCAATTTTACCGATATCCCGCCAGAAATCCCTGGAGTTCGGTTG